AATCATTAGACGTTCCCCCAGCTCCATTGATAAACAACATCGAGAAAACTCAAATAAAAACCTCAGCCACAAAGCTCTCAAATCAGCTGATGTACACTAAGTCTCTCTCTCTCTCTCTCTCTCTCTCTCTCTCTCTCTCTCTCTCTCTCTCTCTCTCTCTCTCTCTCTCTCTACAAAGAACTTTTAAAAAATAGTTCACTCATCTTTAACACGACTCCACGTAACTGGGAGACAGACAGAGCATTAAAACCTCTGTCTAATAGAGAAAAAATACACTGACTGTAATTGGGGAATCGCAACGAAAGTCATCGGGACACAACTAACAGGAGGCGTAACAGCAATCCTAAACAAAAATAATTAAACAAAATAAATAAATAAAGGAGGAAATTATTATGTAAATTAACTAATGAGTAAACTAAGATAGATAGGAATGTCTGCGTAAAAAGGAAAGAAAGACAGAAAGAAAGAAATTGTTGCGAAAGTCGAATGATTCGGAGGAGCTGATGGCTTTGCATTCAGATTCACTGAGGAAGGAATACTAAAAACACACTACAAGAGGCCTTCGTGGTTTTTAATTCTGTTTTCAAGTCGTCCGGTCCGTTTACGAGAAAGTGGCAAACCAACGAACAACATGCGTGGAACCCAATTTTTATTTAAAGAGCAGCATGCATTCAGAAATAAGTTACCCACAGAAACCCTGTTCCAATTCACAGTTGAAATCTGTAACAGTATAGAGAAAACCCAAATAAACTTACTCATGCTGTGTGTTTAGCCCAAACTCTTTGACACTTGGCCATGCAAACCTTTACGAACTATGAAACCAATACTGGAAAATACTATACTAATCTCTTCAAATGTTTAGCAGAATTCGATATTGACCCGATTTTACTCACATTATTCATAAACGCCCCATCAGCTATTACACGACAAATGCATTCTCTTCCGAAACGACAACGACGAAGATTCCTTCCATAAGCAATCCTCTTACTCAACCCGGAACCAGTTACTTGTCCCTCCTGTAGATTACGTGTGGCGTTTGCGTATGTGTAGTTGCTTCAGTGAGCCTCCCTTCACGCGGTCTCCCTTCTGCAGCGTGATCTCGCCGCTCCTGAAGGGGCGAGGAAGGGGTCAAACGGAGAGGATTTCGGGAAAGTGGAAGGGTGATTTGGGGGACTGTGTGTTGGGGCATCCGCGCTGTTGTATCTTCATGAACAAAAAGTAATGTGTTACACTGTATGTGCGTGTCAAACGGACACACACACACACACACACACACAGAGAGAGAGAGAGAGAGAGAGAGAGAGAGAGAGAGAGAGAGAGAGAGAGAGAGAGAAGATGAGAGAGAAGAGAGAGAGAGAGATCGAAAAGCAGAACCGAACGGACCTGCGAGGCGTGTGGGGGAGCCTCGCCTCCACCTCGTGGCCGCTCTGGTAGTGGAACCAATAAGGTGAGTCGACGGAGAAGACCCTCCAGGTGGCGTCCGCGTGGAGGGTCTGCATGAGCTCGTAGGCCAGGCGGCAGATCTGAACCGGAAGACCATTGTGCGTGCTTCAATAACCTTTCACAGCAATTACAGCCAATGAATAACATATACCTTGAACTATGAATTTTCCTTCCTCAAGAATAAAAAGGATATCTTTAAAAAATCGATATAACAACGAAAAAAACTGCGTTTTCTCTTTTCTTAACAATTGAGTATTGTGTAATTGAAAAAGGAAGAAAGAACTACGTGGGTTGTATGTAAATATTGAAAAATACGACCGACTACCTACTACCACATCCGCTATTACATCTAGACTAGTTCAGATTTACAAGATTTTAACCTATATTATTCTAAAAGTGTCCAGTCCCATTAGACACATTATCCCACTGAAAAAAGGCACGCTGCAGTTAGTGAAGTAATCTACAAGCATTTCAGGGCGAACCAAAATAAGGGGGTCTCTCACTCTTTCAGATGGTTCGAGTCTTGCGTTCGGAAACTGGAATGGAATTTGGAATTGGCAATCGCGGTGTTGACAATCGCGGATGGTAAGAGGATTTAGGATTCTGGAATCAATCTACCGTGAGAGACAAAGTTGACTGGAATCGAGGAATTAAGAGAGATGATGGAAGACGGGGAATAAAGAAAGAAGGGGGATGTAATGGGGGAGAGAAGGGAGGCAAAAAAGGAAGACAGGGCGAGGCTAGGAAAGAAAAGGGATAGTAGCCAAGGGAAACCACGGAGGGGTCCTCCGAGTGCCGGGGCTGTGGAGGGAGGAGAGAGAAGGGGAGAGGGGTAGGGGGGAGATGGACGAGGGGAGGGGGCGGAGGAGAAAGGGAGGGAGAGGGCCGGTCAGGGGGAGAGGGAAGGTGGGGATGGACTAGAAGCGGGGAGGATGGGGAGGGGACTAGGGGCAGCCAGTCCGGTGTCGAAGGAATCATCCACACAGTGAGTTAAAAATAAGAGAAAACACCTCTTTTCACAGTAGTAGTGAGATCACATATTAATTCCGTATATCTGATACGCCCTATTATTCTTTAGATAACTCAACTGCTGACGTATATACAGAATATCTTTCTTATTTGACACAGCGAAGAGATAAGATTGTAGATGAATTAGATTAAGCTTGAAGTCCTCTTTTTAACAAAACATGTAGTGTCGGATATTCCATTCATGTTCTCTGCAACGTGAGTTAAAACACGAATGGATACTTCAAGGAGTTTATCTTGTAACAAAAGTAGAAAGAGGTATTTATTAAGACTTCCTAATAAAGATTGAATCTCATCGTCCCGGGGATCCATTCCCTGTGCTGTGAATTGTTTATTTTTATCCATATTTTCTCTTCAGTGAATGGTTAGCTTATGAACTTAGTAGATAGGCCTTTTGGAAGCTGCTATGATATATGAAGATATTTATGGTGATAAACATGTAGTTTACGAGAAGGCGTCGAGGACAACTGGCCGCGGCCACCTAGGCCGCAGCCCAAACTGGCGCGGGAAACTGTGCCACCTTAACCCTAACCTAACCCCAACCCAACCCAAACGCACACCCAACCCAAAAGCCCCACCGCAACCCAACTCCAATCCCAACCCAACCAACCTAGCCTAACCTGAACCGTAACCAACGCCTAACATTACATAACATCAACCTCAACATAACATAACCACTCCTAACATACTCACCTAAACCATAACATAACATAACTATATACCAACCCAACCAACCCCAACCAACCCCAACCCAACCCAACCCAACCAACCTACCTAACCTTAACCTAACAACCTACATAACAAAACATAACATGAACATAACATAACCAAACCCTAACATAGCCAAACCCTAACGATTAACACATCAACCATGAGCAAATGCTATCGGAAAACCCCAACCATCCGATACCCCAATCCCACCCAACCCCAACCCCAACCAACCCAACACCATCGGAGGCCAAACCGCAATTACGCGCGACAGTCCTCAACCCAACCCAAACACGCCAAACCCACAACCACAATTTGCCGCGAACCCCAAAAACATCCTCGGATACCCAAAAACCCCAACCAAACGCAACTCCAACGCGCAACCCAACGCCAAAACCCTAACCCGCGAACTACATACCTAGCCAAACCCAAACCCTAAACCGCAACTCCAACCCTAACCCAATATCCCACACCAATCGCAAAGTCCCTTATACTCAATCCAATCCGAATCACATACCGCAACCCCAAACCTCTCAAACCCAATCCCAACCCAACCAATCCCAAAATTCCCAACCGAACTCCATCTCCAACCCAAGCCCAAACCCAACCCCCACCCTATACCTAACCAATCTCAAATCCAATACCACGTACCCTACAAACCAAACAACCTAACCAAAAACCGAAAATCCAAACCAAATACCCAAACTCAAAACCAAACCAAACCAAACCAAAACGCGATAACCCATACTCAGAACCAAACCCTCTCTGTAATGCTTAATCCTAAACCCTAACCTAACCCAACCAACCTACAAACCTTCAACCAAACCGCCAAGCCCTAACCCGAACGCCCAATCCCAACTCAATCCCCGAACTCCAATCCCAACCCAACTCCTAACCGCCAGACCTAACTCCAAAATGACCTCAAGCCACAACCCAAGCCCAAACCCAACCTCAAAACCCATCCCATACCCAATGACACACAGCCCTCAAATACCACACCCCCAATTCCCCGCAACCCAATCCCCAATACCCAACCCAACCCCAACCAACCCAACCCCCAACCCCAACCCAACCAGATCGCTACCTAACCTATCATTAATCCAATCCCTAATTCTATAACATAACACTAACATAACATAACTATATACTGCCAATCCTTAACAATATATACAACCAACCTGAACATAACATATACATCAAACTATATACCAACAACCAACCCAATTCGCGAGAGCCCCTATCCCCTATTTAACCTAACATTAACCATAAACCTAACGATAAACCACTAATCATAATCACTTATATCACTAACATACACCAAACCTTAAACCATAAACTAAAGCTAACATAAAAACATAATCATAACCCAATAACCTAAACACAACCCTAAACCCAATCCAACCCTTCAACCCATACCTCCAACCCAACCCAACCCGACATCCCCAACCCTACCCAATCCACGACTCATCCCCCAAACCCAACCCAACCCATAACCCAACCCAAGCCCCACACCATCAACCCAACCTCTCTATAGTCCCCCAAACACCATAACATAACATTAACCATCACATAACATTTAACATAATATAGAGAGGTGCATACACATAAAACAAATAACATAACAATTAACATAACATAACCATAGACATAACATAAATAAATCAATAACATTAACTCATATGAACATTAACATCACATAACATTATCCAACTAATCATAACACAACATTACTCCATACCTTACATTAACCCAATCATTAATTCATAACATATATATCCATTAACATAGCATAACATAAACAATAACATTAACATAACATAACATATGACACTCTTATACACTAACATAACCATAACAATTTTAACTATAATCCAGTAACATAATCGTATTAACCTAATAACACGTAAACAGTATGAAACATAACTAAACCAACCCCAAGAACCAACCTTAACTTAACCCATACTCCAACGCCAAACCCAACCCAACCCAACCCATTGCGGCTCAATCCGCAACTCAACTACGGCCTATTAGGCCTAACCTAGATCACAACCCAACCCAACTCCAACCACCAACCCTAACTCTAAATGACGAGAGATAAGTCACAAAAACGATCACGCAAATAGCCTGTCTCATCTGCCGATAATCTAAACGCACTGCGGCGAACCTCTATCATGAATCGTGCGGATGCATACCAACTCTACTGTCTTCTGTGAAATTTTATTTTGATGTTCGTAAACAAGTTCAACGTGGACAACGCGATTATCCACATATTACAAGCGAGGCTGAAAATCCGATGCGCATCGAGCCATACCCTGTCAAAAGGCATGTAGCCACCTCTGTCTAAAGTGCATGACGCCACCTGGTCAAGTTGAAGAAATACAGCGTCCCCATAGCGTCATCATGAAAGAATGAAATAGCAATATTGTAACATCACACATTTGGGAGTAGCTCGCCTTATATGCGTTCGTTGAATTAGTCTCAGGGCGAACATTGTTCATAACTTTTCTCACATTAACATTTACATGCGAGTGCTTTCTGTTTTTAAATAATTATAAGACTCACACTCGAACACAATTTTTTTACTCTCAATGCGCCATACTACTTCTACTTACACATCAACTGTTCATATAGTTGCTTACTTGCGTTCTTAATCCAATATAAAAATATTAGAGTATTTTTTAAATTTCCAATGCTATATATTTCATTAAAGGTACTCAGTAAATGATAGTTCCATAATGCGTCCCGAAATTTTCCCGCTCCGGCCAGTTTGTCCCCGAGTATACCATACCAGAAGCAAGAGAATCCTGGCAGAAACTGAAGGGAGAGGCATAAAATTAGCTGGACATGGCTCCATCCCGCGCTAAGCAGAAAAAAACCCATACCTGTTAGAAAAAGAAAAGCGAGTCCAAGAATATACAACTGGGCCATGAGAAAACAGCGAGAACAGCAAAAAAGAGGAACAGCCGACGCATATACCAGATAGCAAATAGTGCCGACAATATCGCGTTCCGTCGCGCTTTTCTGGTGGCCTCCGTGATGAAAAGTCAGGATTCGCCACCCCATAATTAACCTGCCATGAGACTGCACCAAGCCATATTCGTATCCTCACCTCCCGTATTTTGCACGATATACTAATTTTCATACACGAATATGTGTTTCAGTCGGACCTACCAATAACCTGAGACAAGCCGGCACGTAGTATGAATTCATACTGTTTCCACACCAGCTTCATCAATCAATATTATAGTGTCTCCGTTCTACGACCGCCAAAATACAAAAGCAAAATAAATCACCACTCTGAAACAAACCTCATATAGTCTCCCGACAACTGAATCGAAGAATACCTGATGACAAGCAGCTTGCAATAGACATCTTCTAAACTGTGCGACTCTATCTGCCGATGCCTCAAGCTGAATTGCAGCTAGGCTAACAGCAAGCCAGCACGAGGCATGTGTCAGTCACGCGCCCGGCAAGTGCAATAGACTCCCTAATACATAGAAACCATAAGGAGCTCAATAAACCAGTTTAAAAATTCTGTAATGCAGTATTTTTAAATTGAATCTTGCTGCAAAGTGGTAGCTCTATCTTTTACCGATATAATAATAACCCTGGGCGGAAACTGAGCCAACACAATTTTAAAATAAGAAGATTTTGATTAATATAAAATCTGTTATCCTCTTTATCTCATGTGGATTTGCTTCTATTTCTTGTTACGAACTTCTCTGTTTCCTAAAAATGTGTTTACATATTAACATCCTCTGAATAAATTCTATGATAAAGATCATTATGTTCTTAAAGATACAGAGTCTAGCAATATTGACTAGGTGCAGAATAGTATAATGAACGATTTCTATGGTATGTTTACGGTTGAGTGGGCGTGCTTGCACTATCTCGTTAGTGCAGTTTTACCGAGAAACTGACAAAGAGAATACTTGAGCCAAACATTACATATATAATATGCATTTAGGAGAATAATAATTTTGATAATCATTGACGTTGAATGGAATATGATATTGATGGTAAATCATCGAAATTGTAATGACATGCATTAATTTCATTAACAATTGACAACTGAAAAATAATCATAACAATACAATGATAATAATACAGGGGTGACTAGGTGAATGCATAATGATTATTAAAAACGGGTAAATCCAATAAATAATAAATCAATAATAAAAATGATGGGTTGATGCTATATGGAAACCACCAATACCCACGTGATAATTACTGTGCTATAAATCATATGATGAATGATATGATCAAAATATTACATGCGGCAGTCGCTCACAATTACACTGGACATATAATTCTGATATAAAT